CAGACGGTTTCGAGGGTCATAGAAGTCTGCCGGGAGTACCGACTGCCTCTCGTCCTAACCTTCGTCGACTACGAGAAAGCCTTTGACAGCGTCGAAACCAACGCCATCCTGTCTGCGCTAGTCGACCAAGGAGTGGAACCAGCTTACGTGAGGACACTAGCCGACTGCTACAAGGACTGTACAACAACGATGCAGCTATTACATCGCCCCCTAACCATTCCAATTGGGAAGGGGGTTCGACAAGGCGACACTATTTCGCCGAAGCTGTTCACCGCGGCCTTGGAGTGGGTGATGAAGTCACTGGACTGGGAAGAGAGAGGCATACGAGTTGATGGGAGATTCCTATCCAACCTTCGTTTTGCGGATGACATCGTCCTTTTCTCGAGCAGTATCACTGAAGCAGAGGCGATGCTGAAGGAACTAAACGAAGTAGGGAAGAAGATCGGATTGCGAATAAATCGGAAGAAGACTCAGTTCATGAAGAACGCCCTTTGCGAAGATGCAGAAATGGAATTGGAAGGCACCCCTATCATGGAGACGTCTTCTTACGTGTATCTCGGACGTTCGATGAACATGGAGAACGACTTGAGGGAAGAACTTAACAGGAGAAGAAGAGCAGCCTGGGCCGCCTTCGGGCCTCTGAAGGAAGCCACCGACCAACTGACGGACCCGGAGCTTCGTGCCCACCTGTTCGACTCAACCGTTCTCCCAGCGCTCTGCTACGCAGCTGAGACTTGGGCCGACACCGTAGCCACGTCGAAAGCTTTAAGGACCACCCACAGAGCGCTCGAGCGCAGTCTTCTGAAGATGACCCGACACAAGCAACATCTAGTCGGACTTCGCAGCACGGATATGAGAAGAATGTCCCGTCTTCGTGACCCAGCGGAATACGTTGCGAAAGCGAAACACCGATGGGCCGGTCACATAATGAGAAGAACGGACGATAGATGGACACTAAGAACATCTGAGTGGATTCCTCGCGAAGCCAAACGTCCTCGAGGAAGACCACCAACGAGATGGGCAGACGTGTTTGTGGAACGGATGGACCAGCTGAGAAATCAGCTGGATACGATTTTTGCCCCTGGAACTCGTGGACGCAGCCACCGACGACGACCAAGAAGATCGTGGATGTCCGAAGCGAGGGACAGGGATCAATGGCGACTTCTGTACTGGGGCCCGCACGTCACGTGAGGACGGGCCATCTAAGTAAGTAAGTAAGTAAGTGCTCAAGTAGACGTCTTTTTACAATGGTAAAAAAGCCTGTACTTGAGCACTCCAATTATAAAAGTCTCACCCACCCTTCACCCGGCACTTTTTTGAGCGGATGTCAGACATGCTATATATTTTCTGAAAGCGGAGGACGAGACGGTTCCAAAGGTGACCATCACGGCGTACAAGATGTTCATCTACAGAAATTATGAATTTTTTTTATGTTAAAAACTTGAAAATCTCCAAAAATCACTTGGACACCCTTCACCCAGGCACTTTTTTTAATGGAGCCCAGGCAAGGTACATATTTTCTGAAAGCGGAGGATGAGGCGGTTCCAAAAGTGACCATCACGGCGTACAAGATGTTCATACACAGAAGTTACGGATTTTTTTGTCCTAAAAACTCGAAAATATCCAGAAATCACTACCGACACTTTTCACCAGGCATTTTTTCAACAGAGTCCAGGTAAACTATATATTCTCTAAAAGCGAAAGACAAGATGGTTTTAAAAACATTTCCCTTGCTGACGTTGTTGTTCATCTACAGAAGTTACGAATTTCTTCTTTTAGAAAATTTGTAAATGCTTAAAAATTAAAGCTGCATTTTAATCAGGAACTCAGTAGTCCACAGCTGAACATAAGATACGAGAAAAGCGCATGTTTGCAAAGATTGATTGATTTCGTATAGCTAATGCTCATTAAGTAGAAGAAAAAAAGGTTTGAAAAGATTTTCGATCAATAATTTCGAGCATGTAAGTTAGTATTCGTATAGTGACGGTTCACTGGTAATTTCTAGCTTATTCATGGATTTTTTTGGGATTAGGAACAAACAAACAAGTTTTATACCAAAAGGGGTTCAAGGGAAAGGAGACGGGATTAAGGGGTGGGTAGGAAATAAATTTCATGGAGTTTATGTTGTCAATGAATTATACTATTCTAAAGATTGCTTTACTAGTTTCAACTTATTTAGATGAAGAAGTAAAAACTTACATTCAAGCAAGCAGATTTTCGCATGAAGAAATTGGGACCACCACTTCCCCCCCCCCCCCCTCCCCCCCCCCCCCCGGTCGACAATTTTATGATTTCTTGATCAACTGAAACACCCTTCACCCGGAGGGGCTGCGACCGCTGTGACCCCCTTCACCCTGGATGCGTCATTCTCAGCTTATCGCACCTGTGGATGTTGACTCATCAACATCATAATCACCACTTCTATTCATTCATTTTGTACCGCTTTATCCCAGAAATGATGCCACTCTCTTAAGACTTGATTTCGAGACATCAATCGGGACGACCTAATACAATCAGGATGTACCACGTAAGAAAATTGAAGGAAGATGATAATATGGCGGTTCATTCTGGAGAACCAATAGAAAAGATTTAGAGCCAAAAAGAGCGGTATGGCTACTTCCTCCAGAAAAGTTTTTTGTGCTCTTTGACTTTCTATTCCAACGAGGAGTGCTTTCAAAAACTTGCGGCCAATCTTCATGTGTTTCTTTCGCTCGCCTACCTACTATTTTTGTGTAAGCTCGATTAAGCACCTTACCAACCTAACTAGCAAATTTTACTGTCACGATTCTATGAAACCGCATAAGGAGACATTTAGGTAAATATTAGGCGTCTGGAACGCAGCTTTACAAGATACAAGCACAAAGCGGGAAAAAGATATCGATGCTCAGCGTTGCCATTCTATCATAATTGACTATTATTGTAAAGGCTGGATCGAAAGTACCCTGAATTTGCGAATAAAAGACGCACCATCTTTGAATTGCGAGTATGTCGGGGCATCGTTGAGTCTCTAGAATGATCGCTATACCACAAAATCTTTTTGGTAAGGTATAGAGATCCTTTGGTCCCTTTGACGAGTTCGGGCTGATCGAATTTAAAAAAAAGCACTTTAAATGTCTTGTACTCGTAATAGATAGATGTTTACACTCCACTTCAGACTTTTCACTAATCGGATAAACTAATCTTAAGCTGATGCTTTAGTATAAGGCGCAGGCGCAGCTTTTCTTTCCAGCAGTTGAGGAGAATGCTTTTTTATATATGTATCAAAAACTCCTGGTTCTAAAGCGATAGTTTTCTGTTTCTGCAACGCAGTACTTTAGATTTCAACTGAAAGTTTTTGGAAAATTGATAACATCAAAGTAGAGCAATTCTTTTGCAGTGCAAATCTTTTGAGATCTATTTCAACTTGTCTTCGAAGTGTTTTGAAAAGATTCGCTGAAATCCTTGTTTTCACTGCGGAAGTTTGCACCCTCTGGTGGCGTGTAGCAGTTACCATATTAATTTCAAAAAATGAGCACTTTCCATACTACAGTGCTGGACATAATTATACAGCCACTCTAGAAATCGTCGTAATTTTTGTTCTTGTCAATGAATCTGTCTGAAACTTGCTGTGTTGTGCGCATATCAACCTACCATAACCCCTCAAAACGGCTTCCAGTCTTGTTGAGTTTGAACGGAGAAAAACGAAAAAAAATCGAAAAAGCCCTCTTTGAAAGCTGGACAAAATTATACAGCCACCTGGTTTTACTAATCACTATTGCATTCGTTGACTCTCAAATTTTTTTGTACAATTACATCCCAAAATATGAAACATTTGCGACACTTACGGCCTGTCTTCCTACTCAAATAGAAGCAATCGCTGCATTTCTTGCTTTTAAAAGCATTATAAGTCAATCTCCTTCAACAAACAACTGCTTTGAGGACTTTTCAAGCTCTTGTTCATTCCAAATGATAATCATGGAATCTACTGACCCTGCTGGATAGATGAGGTGAAGAGCGCTTTCGTAAACTCTGCGTAATCGCTGATTTTGACGGACAGACTCCAATCTCACCATAGGGTTGACGCACTTTTGCACCACGAAACTCGATTTTCAAGCGACAGAAAATACTGTAATGTAGCCATTACGACAGCCATACAACAGTGAAATCAGCGATTACGCAGAGTTTACGAAAGCGCTCTTCACCTCATCTATCCAAAAGGGTCAGTAGATTCCATGATTATCATTTGGAATGAACAAGAGCTTGAAAACTCTTTAAAGCAGTTGTTTGTTGAAGGAGATTGACTTTCAATGCTTTTGAAAACAAGAAATGCAGCGATTGCTTCTATTATATTTGAGTAGGAAGACAGGCCGTAAGTGTCGCGAATGCTTCATATTTTGGGATGTAATTGTACAAAAAAAAATTTGAGAGTCAACGAATGCGATAGTGATTGAAAAAACCAGGTGGCTGTATAATTTTGTCCAGCTTTCAAAGAGGGCTTTTTCGATTTTTTTCGTTTTTCTCCGTTCAAACTCAACAAGACTGGAAGCCGTTTTGAGGGGTTATGGTAGGCTGACATGCGCACAATACAGCAAAGTTTCAGACAGATTCATTGACAAGAACAAAAATTACGACGATTTCTAGAGTGGCTGTATAATTATGTCCAGCACTGTATATACATGATGAGTTTCTGTAACATGCTTACATGTCATTCATATGGCCCTTATACGCACCAAACGATGTCAGATCGGCAACTGTGCTGTAAACGACTCACATGTTCACCGCTGTTTATTAAAAACCTCTATTTCAAAAATGAGCAGAGATTGTCTGCGCACGTCGGCCGGGTTGTTTGTGAGGCACGATGGGCATGTGCTTACAAAGTGTCCCTTCTCTTTTCCAAAGAATTGATTTCTAGCTCAACATTCGTCACCATCTGCCGGGTCCCGCGTTGCGCCCCACTCCCCATGCCGAGTCTACCAAATTGCGACTGCTAACCCCAGCGCATGCAAATTGACGCAGAAAACTCACAAAAAGAGTTCCTTGTTAGGTCTTTTGTCGGCGTGTCGCCTAGTATCGTTTAAGTAGTAGATAGCATTTTGATTCGGCACGAAAAAAGCGAGCCACCAGCCGAAAGTAGATGTGACAGCGGTAATTAGAAATGAGCTGCATAGCTGAGACGCTAAAAACAAATCCAGATATTCTTTATATTTTGATACAGCCACTGCCTAAAAGTGATAGTTATAAAAACACTGAAAATTGGTAGTGAAACATATTACATCTTTTTTCCAACCACCGTCATTTACGATTGCCTTTGACAGACTAGTCATAAATTTATGATCATCTCCGAAAACGATGAAGTGCGATATATTCTGCAGGAATCTTTATCGATACAAAAGATAGCCTTAATGTAGTTCTAACATACCATTTTCCTTGCGATTGTATTCGCAGCTTTTACAGTAGTGTTCAAACTGGTGCATATATGCTTTCTAACAAAATCTCTCATACGCACATGTATGCACATTGATCCAGTATATCCAAACGAGTTTTTGAAAAGAAGTCGAGAAACAAGATGCAACATAGTTCCTACTTTTTCAATCTTTGTATCAATTGGTTTCCATAATATCTCACTCTCCCAGAAAAGTTCAGGATGCTACGCACGTCGGTGATATATTTTTCAAAATATCTAGGATTTTGCCCGTAACAGAACCTCAGCAGCAAAAATTTATCGGTGTAGTTGCTTAGCCTGAAGTGATACGCCACATTTTGGCATTTCCGTATCTCGCAAACCTCAAAGGATCGTAGTAAGTGCAGCAAGAACTTGCAAAACGCACTTTTCTTTGCTCGGTTCCCCTCTAAATCAAATTGCACTTTGTAGTATCATCACATAAGTCTCAATCAATTGCAAGCCTATATTTGCAAGGAATGGGATACTAAGCTTACCTTCGCAAGTACATACGTTTGCTTCAAACGTGGGAAAATTCGCTCTAGATAAATCAGATATTTTTCGACGTGTATCCTTACTCTTCCTTCATAGGGTAAGTAGTGTATTCTATTCATAGTTCTGGCAATACCATAACCAGTGATCATATGAAATAACTGAAGGACGAAATAAGCAAATTCATCATAACCGCTCTGCACACAACTCTGGAGATCCGTTTTTTTTACTTCCGAATTTACTGCTCTCTGGCTTTGAGAGAAGCTGATCTTGCGGACCAGACTGCTTCCAATTTGATGCAATGCTCAGTAAATTCTACGTGTTTTATTAGCTTGATATGATGCTGTCAAGAAACTTAAAGCAAATTATTAATGTGAGTAGCCTTACGTTTGTGCGTAGATTCTGCGAATAGCAGCAAAAAGTGATTGCTCAACTTTTTTGTCGGTACATATTCGATTGATTTTGGGTATTTGAGAAGCAGTTATAATTCCACAAACAGTAACGGAACAGGAGGATTAGGTCAACGGAGTGGGAACAGCCATGTTAAGATTGACGTGCTTTCAGTTGTAGCAAATATAAAGCTGAATGCGTGTTTGTGTGTGTTGTGTGCGTCGTATGTGTGTTTGTGTGTGTTTATGTTATGTTGTATGTATTGTATGTGTGTTGTGTGTGTTGTGTTGTGTTGTGTGTCTTGTGTGTGTTGTATGGGTTATGTTGTGTTGTGTGTGTTTGTGTGTTGTATGTGTTGTATGTGTGCTGTGTGTGTGGTGTGTGTATATGTGTGTATGTTCCGCATAGAAATTTTTATTTCTGAACCGATCTACTTTTCGTATTGATCGATATCAATTTTACCGATTTTTTGCAAAGTTTGGACAACGGGCTGGAAGTTGGCATAGGAGGTAAGTGAGCGTGCTGATTGCGAAAATATTACTGACAGGGTTGAGCGGAGCCAGGTTCGCCAGCGTTATCATAAAATTGCGGCAATGCGTGCTTCGCGTAACAGTTTTGGGAGCGCGTTTTTTTTTATCTTAGGTTTGTCAAATACTCTTCGCACGCAATTCTTGCGAATTGCCCAGTGCAAACTGATGAAACTAGCATTTTTGAAGTTTTACCTCACTTCATTATTGTAATCAGATTTTGACAATACTGGGCACATTAAAGGCAGCTTCCCGGCAAAAAGATGGGTGCCGAGTTTTTGTGGCGAAATGTTAAAATAGACCCCCTGCCTAAGCGATGGCTGAAGTTCGGAGCGAGAGAGGGGGTCTACCAAGCTTGAAATTTGCTCCGAAAGTGGCCCGACTCTTACTGTATGCCCGGACGTCGCCCACAGAGCAATATCGATCTGCAAGGACAGAGTGCGTATAGCGCACACAGTCATGAGCGCAGGGTCCAGCAAAGACTCTGCGTCTCTACCTTGCATGCATTCTACCGTAAGATTCGGGCCACTTGAGGGGCAATTTGTAGAACTCGTAGACCTCCTTTCGCGCTGCAAACTTCTGTCGTTGCTTAATTAGGGGGTCTACTATTATATTATTACCAGAGCCAGGTACCACCTAGTCTGGTTGGACGCTGCCTTAAAGTCGATTCTATCTTCATGACAACCACAAGCGTTTGTGGGAGGAGCCACCACTTCGCTAACCGAACTAGTACTTCGCTTTTTATTCGAGCTTTTTAGTTTTGTGCCTCACCACTGCACCTCATCTAATTCTCATCACCCCCTAATTCGGGATGACAATTTGCAAAGGACGCGTCCAGATTTGACGGCCCCAAACATATTTTCACGCGATTTCAATAGTGACGCGACTTAGCAATACTCCAGTTGCTTGCAAGTCGTTGCAAACTCAGTTTGAGCAAAGGCTACACATTTTATCAACTCACAAAAGTACAGAATTTACGCATTTTACGTTATTTAAATCACGCTATAAAAAGGCCTGGGTATAATGAAATCTGAAGTCGGGAATATGCCCTGAAGCTGCCTTTAAGAAAAAGCGGAGGAGATATCAATGCATCAAAGTGCATGCGCAACTCTCGCTCATCATTACAAATTACATCACAAGACGACCAAGCTGTCACACAACCAAAGTGTACATACACAATCTTGCCACGCGCACATTAGTGGGAGTTCGATTTTTTGGGCATTTAGCACTTTTTAGATCTTGAATTCGAACTTTTCCGTAAACCGAAATTGGCGCTAAATCATGAATGTCATCTTGTAGAGCTTGCTTTGCCCTAACGAACAGTACCCCTTGACGTTTCTTGGATTGAGCTTGGTTATTTTGCTAAAGCAAGCAAATAAAAAACGACGCTATTTTTTTGACAGTCTAATACATCATCATCATCATCTATGATCAGATAGAAAACAAAATACTCTATCACTAACGAGGTCAAAAGCGAAAACTCTCGTTTAATGCGAGATCCTCAAATAGGTACTATCATTATTGACGACGAAATGGTTTTTGGTTCAGTAGATCCGCTATAAACTTCTTTACAGCGACCATTGTTACCGAGCTAGAAGACAGAACTGAATTCTGAGTGGGACCAAGAAGAAGTCCCTGTTTTAATGTATGCAAACAGTCGTGTATTCCAACTCGCTGTCCTGTCATGTGCAGAAGTGAATGGGCATCATTTCATCATTATCGCTTTGGTCACAAAGTGAATGTGATATTGGGCGCGTATTTCAACATCAGCTTTGCAAGATGCGAAATAGCTGCATTTCACGAAGCTCAGTGCAAAAATGTGTTTTGCAACCTTGAAGCATGGCTGTAAAAAATACTTCCACAAACCGTGCGCGAATTTAACTCTCAAACCTTCGCGACCAGGCCATTTTCTACACCTAGATGTCTCCGAGCATGTGCTGAAATCTATTCCTATAGTAAACTCCCAACATTCATCCAAAATCGCAGAGCGCGTACGATTCACAGATTTTAAAGAAGTGTTGAAAGTAATTATATAATAGAATGTAGCTATCAGGATGAAAATTAGTTTGACAACACACGCTTGTTATCGTTACATACTTCGATTTTAGAGAGTTTGCAAACACTGTGCAAATTGCTGTTAGATTGGTGCAAAAGTGATGCGCGTTTTTCGAGTTTTCAATTTGATGTGCTGTAACTTTCTAACAAATATACATTTTCCAATGCGATAAAGTCCATCAGAGGCAACAAGTCTTTCGAAATACAGCGCACATCCGCATACTCATACTTCCGGCAGAAAAATTTGGATTGATGAGCAAAAAAGTTTTTTTCTCTCGTTTTAACTGGTCATAACTCCCCAAAATTTATTAGTATAAATGATAAGTAACCTACCTTGTAGCCGCAGGTCAGTAGTACAAATAAAGATGGAAATTTTGGAAGAAAAAGCTTTGCAAAGAGAAAAAAAGATTGAAAAGCAAAATTGTCACCTTTCTTCAACATTTTTTAATAGTCCTCAAATCCCAAACTACGAAATTTTCTGATTTTTTTCTGCGTACTGAACTGCTAAATACAGGGTGCGTCAAAATTCTGGGAGCCTAAAAGGAAAAAAAGGAAAGAAAAGAGAATAAATTTTTCAAAACTTTTATAAATTGATTTCTGCACCACTTCTCGTTTCCAACTTACAATTTCACATCCTTGCATTTCCTTTTTGTAATATTGTTTGTGGTTTCCTTAGAGCAGCTGAACTTGGGCCACCCACAAGCGTTCGTTCTTTGAGCTTGTTTACGGAGCCAGAATTGGTTGCGAGTTAAAGAAGAATGAGACGTAGGTAAAGTGGAGTCCTAGGAGGCACTAGGTATGATCTGCCAATTATTACGATTATTTGAAAAACGCTGGACAGTAGAGGAATCAGAACAAGTGTGCCCTCTATTCTGATCCATCTTGAGGCTTCTATTATTAGGTCGGTGCAAAAGTTTTGTCAGTTTTTTCAATCCATCGGCAATTACGCTAGAATGAAGATAAACAAAGACCTCAAAATGTATCCGATGCAGAATTTCTTCCTCTTTCCAATGTTAAACTCCCATTGTGTTTCGTTGCGAGAATTACGAGATATTTGCTGCAAATTACAACCACTCGTTTTTACCTGTCCAACTTTCGCTAATTTTCAAAATTTTTGTATAAGGCTTTCGAAGGAGCCCTAATAACCAGCAGATAGGGCAAATCTTTTGCCAACAAAAGCAATTTCTTGTAGCCCTACAGCTTGTCTTTCAAAATTTCTACGATTTATTTTTTGAAGTGACCAAATTATACACAGCCTATTTTTATCCCGTAGAACAAAAAATGTTAAACACTTTTCACTATTCGATGCGGATTTTTCTCCTCTTTCTAATACTTGCCTTTTTTTGCCGAGACAGGAAAAATTTGTGGGGAAAATTGCAGTAATTCTCATTTTCAGGAGTGCGCACTCACGTAACCTATGTTTCAAAATCTTTATAATTTGAAGCGAAAATCGCTCATTTGATTTGTAATGGTAGCGGTAGTAATAGTCATGTGCTGAAACCTCAGTTTTCTGTAGGTTTTGCAGTGTTTGGTGCAATAACAGGTTATGCAATTTTTCCAAAACACAAGACTTTTAGGAAATTACTTAGCAAAAATTTGGAAAAGCAGCTGATAAAAAGAAAAAATTGCATAAGTTGGCAAAAGGTTGCCCTATCTGCTGGCTATCAAGGCTCCTTCGAAAGTCTCATATGAAAATTTTGAAAATTAGCGAAAGTTGGACATGGTAAAAACGAGTGGTTGTAATTTGCAGCAAATATCTCGTCACTCTCGCAACTAAACACAATGGGAGTTTAGAAGCTGGAAAGAGGAAGAAATTCTGCATCAGATACATTTTGAAGTGATTGCTTATCTTCATTCTAGTGTGATTGCCGATGGATTGAAAAAACTGACATTTTTGCAACGACTTAATATTTGTGAAAAATTTATTTCATGATAGTTTGAAAATTGTTTCAAATCTTTTTTTAGTCACCATCCTGCATCATTCACGCTGCTCAAAAATTTACTTGCGCAAATTGTTCGGTAGTCTACGTATTAGGTTGGTAAGAAAGTTCTCGAACATTTTCAAAAAAGATCTGCTACTTCTCGAAACCTAAAGGATATACATGAGACTGAGGAACCATTCGATAGAGCAAAGCAAGCTCTACAAGGTGGTATGCAAAGCTTCGCACCAGCTTCGACCC